CCAACCAATTGAACGGACACCAATGACAAACCTAATACTCAGTGTGACCAGGTCTCAAAAAATGTTGCGGCTAAATCCCATCCAAAATAATGCTAGAAAAAATGCTAAATTGATTTTAAAATGCCAAAAAAAAAAAAAAATGCTAAAATTTTTTAAGTGTTTTTATGAACAATTCATATTAATTTGTAACTGAAATTCATTGTAATTTATATCAAGTAAGAAAGTATATTCTGCCGTGGTTGACCATATGAGTATAAAATTTGATTTATTTTTCGTAATAAAGCATTTATGTTGAATTGAACCTTGGTTCCGATATATTTAAACTAATTTTCTGAGAAAGACTTTATACATTTGTATATGTATGGGGGCTAGGTAAAATAAAGGACGGACTTTAACCATTTTTAAAAGGTTTTGTCATTGGATCAAAAAGCATACGTGCTTATTGTTTTGAAAATTTCAACCTCTACCAGACGGTCAGACTTACATGGCTTAATCGATTCAGAAAATGATTCTTAACCGATTAGTATACTCAAACGTAGTATAGTGGAGTAGGGTAAAAAATTAAGTTCCGTGGTATTAAGATAAACAGAAATGCTAAAAATTATTTCAACATTTTTGTAAATTTAGCAATATGTAATGTCTCTAACTTTAAAATATTTCTGAATGCAAAAATTACATTAAAACTCTATTAATTACACTAGTTGCTCATGGTATAAAACCTATTTCTAGTTTTACTTTTTTTTATATAAACAATTTTATTTGTCTTCCTCAAAACACTTTAAAAATGGTTTTCATGTCACAAAAATATTGAAAATTCCGTTGAAATAATTTTAAATCTCGGTGAATAGATGTCAGGTTTATAACTCATACTTCCAAGATTTTTTCGGAAAAATATATATGAGAATGTATGAAATGAATTGAGAGATATATTCAAATCCGTAAGTTTGTAATTCTGGAATAAATTGTCAATAATATTTTCGAAATTTATGTATATTTTTTAATTAAAAAAAAAAAAAAAACGTGACAACAAAATAACTAAAAATTTGGTAAAAATAAAAGGAACAGAAAGTAGAATGAGAAAGTCTTAATTATATATTATTGATTTTTTTCAATACTTATTTTCAATAAATTAACAAAAACTCCTGAAGGATGATAAAAATTAAAACCTCTTTATTTTGTATAGGAAAAAATAAAATTTGTTAATTAACCGTCATACATAGCCTTTTCCAAAATTATATGTTTCATTCCATGAGCAAACAAAAAGTATTACTTTGTAAAATAGCGTACTGAACGTATTTGTAAAAATATATGAAATCTCTTGAATTATTTCTTTCACCCCGAATTTAAAAAAGCATTGGGTTCCAGAAAAATATTTTAGAATACAACATTTTAAAGTATTCACTTGTATTGGCGTAATTTTAAGTTATTTATCTTCATGAATCTTTTTGCATTATTTTGAATTACAGTGTAAATTATTACATTTCTCATATTTCTTCTTGCTTGTGTTTGGGTAGACATTTAATTCTGATTTTTTCCGGTTAAACCTATTTCCAATATAAATCTTTTTTGCAAAAATTTGTCTTTTTTTGTTTATATACTAAAATTGCAAAAATAGCTAAAAATGCTAAAAATATTTTATAAAAATGCTAAATAAAATGCCAAATGCTAAATTAAAATTTTACAGCTAAATCAAAATAAAAAATGCTAAATCTAGCTGCAAAAATGCCAAAATGGTCACACTGCTAATACTCTGAATTTAAGATCTGTCCCTGTAAAAGACACAATTTCTAACTTATACTTACATATCTCCTATAGTTATCTTTCCCATACTTAATAATTTAGTCTTGCATATTTACGTAAAAATTCAAATCAACAAATGTTTATTAAAAAGAAATAAAAAAAAAAAAAATAGAGCTTAACAATAGCATAAGATCGTTATTTTCAAAGAGTTACGAACGTACTAAAGAAATAATTGTAATAAATGCAATAAAAATAGTTTCTTTCCTACTTGTTTACATACGGACAATAGGGACGAAAATGAATCGGACTGACAAAATATGAATAAATCAATAGGAATTAAATAATAAAGAAATACTTAAATAAATCATAAAGAGAGTTTATCACTTACAAAAACAATGTATTATTTTATTCCACTGATGATGGGCCCAGCATTCAATGAGTTTGTTCTTGTTGTTGGTGATCTCAGCTAGGTTAGGTTAGGTTAGGTAGGCAGGTCGTCCTCGCGATGTCATCACTGGGGACACACTTGGGTCCAGAATTTTGATCCCTTTGTGATACCTGAAACGAGAGAGAACGGTCGGCGTATTAGTACACTTCAACCTAATCACTCTGGTTTCCACCGAACCAGTTTGTCGCACGAATATAGGAATCTAACTTTCGGATATCAACCTCCGATAGATCCGCTAAGTCATGCAGAAAATAGCTACCTAGCAGACCCATTCTGTGATCAGCTAGGGCAGGACAATGACAGAGGAAGTGAGTTATACTCTCTTCTTCCTCTTCATCCTGGCAGCTCCTGCAGAAGTCGTTACTGGGTAAGTTCAGTCTTCTTGCATGAAGTCCGAAAGGCCAGTGGCCAGTTACCACTGCCGTTAAGTTCCGTAGATTAACTCTCGGAATGTAGAAAAGGGCTTGGGATCTTTGTGGGTCGTAAGATGGCCACATGATCCTTGCCTGTCTACAGGTGGCTTCAGTCGACCATCTGCATTGCGCAAGCTCATATAGTTTTTCACGTATCGAGCGTTTGCAGGTTGAAAGCGGTATACCGACAAAAGGGTCGGAATGCTCTCCTGCAAGCGAGGAGCCTAACTTGGCAAGAGAGTCCGCGATGGTATTACCAGGAATTTGCTGATGTCCTGGAATCCAATACAGTCCTATTGTGGAATGTTTCGCCATCTCGTTAAGGGATGCCCGGCATTCTAGGACTAAGTTTGACGTCGTGTAGACACCACTTAGAACCTTAAGGGCTGCCTGGCTGTCGGTATAAATTCGAATATTAACACCGTATATTCGATAAAACCTGAGCCAGTTTGCAGCCCGTTTAATGGCTGATAGTTCAGCCTGAAGGACGCTACATTGGTCAGGAAGCTTGAATGATACTTCCGTTCCCGAATGTGCTATGTAAAAGCCACCGCCTACACCATGGTTTGATTTTGAGCCATCAGTGAAAACCTTATACGATCCGTCATGGAGGATTGTTTCCATCACATTTGGGTCGTGTCGGATATTCACCGAAAAGCTTCTATCAAAAGACGGTTTGGCGATGCAATAGTCGATATTGTCAGGAATCTCTCCTAGACAATTGAGAATGGTGGAGTGACCTGACTGAATCATATGCCACATACCAATTGTATTGAGTCTAATAGCCGCGTTGAGGGCAACCTCTTGGGCCATTAGATCAATAGGTAGCCATCCCATCATGACAAAGAGAGCCTTTGATGGGGTGGTGCGGAGAGCCCCCGTTATCAACAGAGCTGATGTACGAAGGATTCCCTCAAAACGTTTGCGGTGTGAGTCCTTTTGTACAGACTTCCACCATACAAGTGCACCGTACAATAGTATGGGCTTGACTACCATGTCGAAGAGCCATTTGGTATTCTTGGGGTTTATGCCCCATGATTTGCCAATTGCTCTCTTACACGAGTATAAGGCCGCAGCCGCTTTTGATACTCTAGATTGAGTGTTCAAATGCCATGATAGTTTTGAATCTAGGATTACTCCCAGATATTTAGCACTATCCGATAACTTCAATTGTATCCCATTCAGTCGTGGGAGAGTGAAGGTGGGTATCTTGTACTTCTTAGTGAAGAGAACAAGTTCCGTTTTCGATGGATTTACACCAAGGCCACTGACGTTGCTCCACGTACTGAGTGTCTTGAGTGCAATCTCCATCCTTTGCGATAAAGTATCCAGATATTTGCCAGATACTACTACAGACACATCGTCTGCATATGCTATTACCTTAAATCCCATAGATCTAAGATCCATAAGAAGTGGGTTCAACGCTAGGTTCCACAGAAGTGGAGATAGAACTCCACCTTGTGGGGTACCGCGATTTGCCACTTTTGTGATAATGATTCGTTGAGTCAGTAATCTCTTAATGAAAGCTGTTATTGGTTGGTTTATACCCAGGCCAGTTAGGGCCGTTGTTATCGACCCAGGGTGAACATTGTTGAAAGCCCCCTCGATGTCCAAGAAGGCAACAAGTGTATATTCCCCTTGCGCTATTGTCTTTTCAATGTGACAAACTAGCGAATGTTATGCAGTCTCAACAGATTTTCCCTTCATGTAGGCATGTTGAGATGCTGATAGATGGTCAGGTTTGATATGTATTCTGAGATGCAGATCAATTATCCTTTCCAAAGTTTTGAGAAGAAAGGAGGATAGACTAATTGGTCTAAAATCCTTTGGCTTCGTGTGAGAGGTCTTTCCTCCTTTCGGAATGAAGACCACTGTGCACTTGGTCCAGGGTTCGGGTATATAAGACCATTTTAAACAGGCATCATATATCCGCGTTAGCCAAGGCATAAGATGGACAGCATTGTATTGCAAATCCGCAGGACCCGGTGATTTGTAGGGGTCGAAGCTGTTTATCGCCCAGTTGATCTTATCTTCATTTATGGATATTCCTGTATCAGCTGGGAGATCTGTAAACTGCATGTCAGTCCCGTTTTCCGGAGATTGACAGCCTGGAAAGTGAGTGGCCATAAAAACTTCTAAGGTTTCTTGGCTGCTGGTCGTCCAACTGCACAAGGTTTCTGAATGAAACTTGGGACAGGAGGAGTAGATGATAAGATTTTGCGCAGACGACTGGTCTCAGAAGAACCTTCCACGCCGCTACAGAAGGTTTTCCAAGATTTGCGCTTTGCATTTCTTACCAGGTTCTTGAAACGATTAACCGAGGTCTTGTAAGAAATCCAGTTTCCTGTTTTCTTTGCCTCGTTAAACAGTCTACGCGTCTCTTTTCGAGATTTCGCAATGTCCGCAGACCACCATGGGGGCCTGCATCTGCCTTTGTGCATATTCTGTTTACAAGACAGTGAAGTCGCGTGTTTGAAAGCTTGATTTATGGTTTCAACCGCGTTTTCTATGTCCGATCGGTTTTCGATGATCGGTACATCCTGGAGTGAACGTGAGATTAGCCCCATTTGCATTTCCCAATCTGTTCGTCTCCTGTTTATAAAGGGCTTTGGGGCCACTTTGTCAACTACGATTTCAAAATCGATGTACTGATGGTCAGAGAAAGAGCAGTCACTTGAGACTCTCCATCCCCTTATCCTATCATGATGCATAGAACTAACCAGCGTAATGTCAAGAACTTCCCTTCTGTTTGAAACAATAAAGGTCGGTTCGGATCCTGTATTTAAAATATCAAGATTATTGCTTAGAATGAAGTTAAAGATTGACTCACCTCTAGCGTTTATGTCCGAGCTTCCCCAGACAGTGTGATGGGCGTTGGCATCAGCCCCCATGATGATCGGCATGCTTTTCGAGTTTGCCATCTCTATGGATCTGCAGACCAGGTTGTTCGGTGGCTGGTCGCTGTGGTCGTGAGCCATGTACGCCGAGATAACCAATATAGCACCTACACTGGTCTCCCATATGGCTGCTACGGTGTCTTCATCACTGAAATCAGAAAGAATGAAGATGTTGAGACTGCTTTTGGCTACTATACAGGATCGAATCTTACCAGATCCTTTTGCGTACAATAGCTTAAAGCTTTTCATGCCTAGTCCACTCACCCTTTCTTGTTGAATCCAGGGTTCCGCCGGTTCCGCCGTCCTCACACTGTGGGGGGGGACCAGGGTTCTGTTTAAGAACTTCCCAGAACACCCCCATCAGCTTTTTTCGCACTATGTCCCATCTGGATGGAGACATAGCGCCATCTATGTCACCCCTGTCGATGACAGCATGAATTGTGAATTGGTTCTCAACTACTTTACCTGAGGTCCTGTCATGCGGCTTGGGGGGCAACGGTTTCGGACGTTTTGTCCCGGGCTGCTGGCCCTGAAGATTAGTCTCCTCCTCAGAACGTTGCCGTTTAGGCGCGTCCTTAGACGTGAGGGGGGGACTCTTCTCCAGAACGGCCAATTTTCCCTTAGCCCATTCTAGAGAGGACTTGTCCTCTTTACTTAGCGACTCAACTGGCTTGCCAGCTAAGCGCGCTAGAATTTTGGCGGCGGAGCGCCGTTGTAGGAAGGCCCTTCTTGCTAGTGTTACGTGGGGGGTCTTCTATTCGCCGTGCTGGCATTGGGAGATGCCGTTTGAGAACCCGAAATCTTGTTCGCAGTTCCCTCGTACATAACCGGCACTGTGGTTGCTACCTTGGTTTTGGTGGCCTTAGTAGTCCCCGAAACAGGGGGTTTTATCGGCATTTTGCCAATACGGACCTGAGCTGCTTTTGAGGTACTTGGGGTGACGTCCAGAGGTGCCTCGCTGCTTATTTTGCTGCATCCAGCTTTGGAGCCAGATGCTGTTATTGTTTTGCGACTGCAGGATCCAGGCTTCCCTAAATCCGCAGACGCTTTTGTTTTGGGTTTGGCGCCGGAAGCATTCAGACTAGCCCGACCCGGTGTCTCCGCCGGACTAACCTACTCGCAAATAAATTATTAGTGATTATGATATTTACATTTTTTTCTTTTAAAGTAAAAAAAAGCTAAAGAAATTGTTTAGATAGGTATCTTATACACTCGAAATGAAAAATTAGTTAATTACAATTTAAAGAGTGTACAAATGGAAAATAATGATTAAAATTAAATATTAAATTAAATAGTATAAATTCAAAATTATGAAATCATTTAAATTTACGTTACTTATAAACGATATAAAACTAGGGAAAAGTTGTAATAATATTTTAGTTTGATTAGGTCTTAAGAAAATTGAAAATAGTAAATATTTAACGATATATTAGGCTTATTCTACATTTTACAATTACGTGTGTTTTATAATCGATTACTCGGGGGAGTTTTCCAGATTTTTCCTACCGAGCGCGTCCCCGGGTGGCGGATAGGGGGTGGTGATGGACCATCTGTCCTCTCCCAGCTTTAATTTCACTTAAGCTGAGGGAGGGCAGATTGTCCACCACCTGGGAATATTATATTCCCCGCGGACCAAAAAACTGGAAAAAAAAAACAAATATGGAAAATAAAAATAAAAAGATGAAAGTTACGGTGCAGGGCCTAAATAACCCAGTACCGGCGGCAAGTGTTGATCTACTCGCGAGTCACGTGTCGTCGTCATCCTGCAATCGTGAGCAGAATACTACTACGGAGGTGGGTACCTTGGCCTCCGTGGCGGACAATGCGTCAAGTGTACAGCATGCCGCTGGCAAAAATATAGGGGTGAAAGAGAAGGATGTACTCGGAGAGAGCTCTAAGCTACCTCAGCCTTTAAATATAGGTGAGGGTTCCGACTCTGAATCCTCAGATGATAATAATAATAATACCATTATAGCAAATCCCAAAAAGGATGAAGTAGAGCAAATGGTGAAAGAGGTGAGTGATAGCATAGCTAAACTACCTATTACTAAGAAAAGACTTTCTGGAGCACAGAGGAGGAAGTTGAAAAAGATGCTTCAGGAAATCATAGTTAGTCAATCCCACGACACTCCAAAGGAAAAATCGGACTCTCTCACAAGATCTGAGGCAAAAAGGATCAGGTCTCCCGAGGAGTTGACAACTGAGAATAAGCCTAAGAAGAAAAAGAGCTCCCCGTCTTCTAATACACAGTCGAAGCCAAGCCATACTTCACTCAAAGGAAACTCAAGTGAGAATCCTGCGAGTAAGGGTGACAACGCCAAGCCAGATATTCCGAAGACGAACACGTCGGCGAAATCAACCTCGAAGGTAAGGGAATCTCAAAAGAAGCCCCGAAAAACGAGGAAGGAGAAGCTAGACGGAGGAAAAGGTAAAGAGCCGCCATCTTACGCCAAAGTTGCCAGAAGTAGGCACCGGGACGATCCCTGCTATGCAGTTTACGATGCCGGTAATCCGACAGGCAAAATTCCAATAGACCAACAGAGTAAAATAGAAGACCTGGTCAACAATAAGATAGTGGACCATGCAATAGCTTCAAAGGGCAAACAACCAATAGAGAGCGAGAGCTGCGAGTTCAGCATGGGCGTGATGTTGATGAGGTTGGCATCTCACCAATGTGTTAGCACCCTAAAGAACTTGGTGGAAAGTCTCCCTCCTCCCTGGGACGGCGCTAGGCTGGGACTGGCAAAGAAGAGCGAGCTTCCGGTGCTCCTAAAGTCCACTGTCTACATAAAAGGATGGGGCAGTAAACTGGCAAATGAACGTATACTGGAAATTCTTGGAGGTCAAAATGCTGAGCTGGCCGTGGAAAAATGGGATGTCTTTTACAGGAAAGAAGAACCTGAGGGAACTTTATTTGTAATAGGTATCGACCAGAAATCCATGGCTAGTCTTGCAAAGAATAAAGGTAGGGCTTACTTCGCCTCTAAATCTGTCATATTCAAAATTGGGAAGGTGCCGATTGGAAGGGCTGTTACAACAAGCCTCGAAAAGGACACTAAAAAACCTAAGACCACAGTATCCACTACTGATAACGTTGAGGAGTCAAATCCTAAAATCGAGGAATTTACCATTAACTCGCCAGAAGAAAGTGTAGTTGCCCTTTCCAAAATTGGGAAGGCGCCGATTGAAAGGGCTGTCAAAACCGGCCCCGACAAGGACACTAAAACACCTAAGACAGTACCCAAAGCATCATTAGCAAGTACTAGCAATGTTGAGGAGTCAAATCCTAAAAGCGAGGAGGAAATCACTCACCCGCCAGAAGACAGAACAGCAATGCTCTCCAGAATTGGGAATGTGTCTATTAAAAATACTGCTATTCCTATGCCTGATAAGGACACCGCAGTGCCATCAACAGTACTCACTGCATTAATAGCCACTTCAGGCTATCCGGAGGAGTCAAATTCAAAGAGCGAGGAGGTGACCACCAACTCGCTGGAAGACAGTTTAATGGATGACCATGATTGAGGTTATCCAAATAAACCTCCATCGGAGCGAGACAGCTACCAACGCTCTGATGGCTAAAAATCAACACAGGTAAAATACATATAGCTTTAATCCAGGAACCTTGGACGATTCGCAACAAGGTTTCTGGATTAAATCACGTAAATTTCCAACTTTTCTACGCTGATACAGGATCTCGCCCGAGAACATGTATCTTATGTCACAAGAACTTATGTTTTCTCCTCTCAACAGGATTATCAACATCGGATGCAACGGTGCTGAAGCAAGGTCGAGGCAACATATTCCTTGCATCTATTTACCTGCCTTTCGATTCTCCGACCCTACCACCAACGTCGGATCTGATGAAACTGGTTGAAGAGGCACAAAGGAAAAATAAGAAAATTGTAATAGGTTGTGATGCCAACTCGCATCATGTAGCTTGGGGTAGTACAAACACCAATCGCAGGGGACAAGCCCTCATGGATTTCTTTAATACTAAAGACTTGATAACATTGAACTTAGGTAATAAAGCTACCTTCGTCAATAGAATCAGAGAAGAAGTATTAGATATAACTATATGTTCAGAAGAGCTTATAAACGAAATTCAGGATTGGAGAGTTTCGGACGAGCACTCCTTTTCTGATCATCGGTACATAAGATTCAAAATACTAAGGCCACCACCAAAGCCGATAAAGTTTCGGAATAAGTCTAAAACTAATTGGACAATGTTCGGGGCCTTACTAAAGAACCGTTTAGGTCAGGACACTTTTCAATGTCGAAATAAAGAGGATATAGATGCCAAAGTGGAAACGTTCACAAGTGCCCTGGTTGAATCGTTCGAGGACAGCTGCCCTCTGCGAGAGCGGAGATCTGCCCAGGAAAAACCCTGGGTAACTGGGGAGATCCGGAACCTTGGGAAGACTCTTCGCAAACTATTTAACCGGGCACGGCGTAAAAAGACCGCAGTATACTGGGATGAGTATCGTAATAAACTTGGTGAATATAAGAAAATCGTTCGAAAAGCCAAACGAGACTCCTGGAAACTTTTCTGTGAACAGGTAGATAGCGTAAATGACGTATCGAAGATAAAAAAATTCCTATCCAAAACTCATGTCCAACCGGAATCTATGATCGATGACACGGGCAGGAGGCTTGAGGATATGGAGGAGACAATGAAACTCCTAATGGATTCTCATTTCCCACCCGGTATATCGAATAACATAGATGAACCGATATTGGAGGAAGGGGAGGGTAACACGGAAATAGTTATTACAACTGACATGGTTAAAGGGGCAATCAAGAGCTTTGCTCCCTATAAAGCTGCAGGGCCGGATGGAATTTTCCCGGCACTTTTGCAGATGGAGGCGGGACTGGTTTCCGTACATCTGTCACAGATATTCACTGCATGCTTAAAACTGGCATATACCCCAGTTAAATGGCAGGATGCAAGGGTAATATTTATACCCAAACCAGGGAAACCTAGCTATGCGACACCTAAGTCCTATCGACCGATAAGTCTTACGTCCTTCCTACTTAAAACCTTGGAACGGATAGTCGATAGCATGGTTAAAAGCAGCATACCATACAATGACCTTAAATGACCTTATAAATAAAGGGACGATCGGTGGAAACCGCTTTAAATGAAGTTGTCCACTACATAAGTGAATCTTTCGATAGCAAACTGTATACACTGGCAGTATGCATTGACATCGAAGGCGCTTTCAATAACGTGCACACTGATACCCTTATCCAATCCCTAGACCAGTTTTATGTTGACCGGGTGCTCCGTAACTGGATCAACTACATGCTAAGGAACAGATGGATAAGCTGCGAGATGTACGATATAACTATCAGGAAAAAGGTATTTCGCGGTATACCACAGGGTGGCATTTTGTCACCTTTACTCTGGGTCACCACGATTAATAGCCTCCTAAGGACCCTAACCGAGAAAGGACTTAGACCTGTCTGCTATGCAGACGATGTCGTAATACTTTTAAAGGGAAAGGATCCAAATTACTTGTGTAGAAGAGCTGAGGAGGCTCTGAATACGGCCTTGAGCTGGGCTCAACCGAGAGGCCTCAATGTTAACCCGGCGAAGACGGAAATCTGTCTTTTCACAAGAAAGACAAAAATTTCTACATATACTGAACCTTGCTTCTTGAGCAAGAAGATACCGGTGACAGACAAAGTTAAGTACTTAGGTGTAATACTTGACCGGAAATTAAAATGGAGACACCACATAGAGGATAGGATCAACAAGGCACATCGGTGCTGGGCGATATGTAGGAGAACCATAGGCATGAAATGGGGTCTTAGTCCTACTATGACAAATTGGCTTTATAAAAGTGTAATTAGACCAATTCTAGCTTATGCTTCAATAATTTGGTGGAGTGCTT